CTTGAGCCACAGGTGCCGAGCCTATAAGTGGTCTTAATAAAACTTATTTTTTGTTAGCACACCCACAAACACAGAGACACCACTTAGATTCCCACTGCCTAAATCTTCAAATATGATGAATAATTTTAATTAGAAAAGTCTTGAAGATTATAGCTATAGTAATAACAAATCCTGCATGATGTTTTAAAACTTAGTAAGTTACTGTCTAATCCTTGACAATATTCTATAGGACTTTGGGCTCTTGCAAACAGATGATGAAAATGATTCTGACATTACTACAAAAACTTACCTGGTGGAATCTTTTAAGATGCAGAATTAGGATGGCTGGGACAGCAGAAATTAGCAATTGCTTCCTGGCATTAGTATAAACTCCTTCTGCTTTCCTTTCTGTACAAAATATAATGAATTTGTAAAATTCTATTTTATACAGTATCTACCATATAATAAACAGCTATATAAAAGCATCACACCATGATTTTTTTATTGTTTGAGACAGAGTCTCACGATGTCACCCTCAGAGTAACGTGGCGTCACAGCTCATAGCAACCTCAAACCCTCGGGCTTAAGCAATTCTCTTGCCTCAGCCTCCCAAGTAGCTGGAACTACAGGCGCCCACCACAATGCCCAGCTATTTTTTGTTGCAGTTGTCATTGTTGTTTAGCTGGCCAGGGCTGGATTCAAACCTGCCAGGCTGGAGGTATGTGACCAGTGCCCTACCCATTGAGTACAGGCATCACCCACACCATGTTTTTTAAAATGTTAAAGAAATTGGATGTCTGATGAAAAGGGGCCTCTACTCCTTTCTGTAACTCCACTAAAATGAAAGTCAAGGAATTTTTCTTAAAGGCACATATTTAATAGAGAATAAGAGGGAACACAAACACCAAAAATTTGGAAGTTGGAAAGCAGACAATCTAGGGAGGATTTATGATAGAATCTGAATGTGGGAAACTGCACCTTTACCTGAGATTACCCTAAGAGGTACTTCTTTCTTCTCCCATCTAGCCAGTTCTTTAATTACTACTGTATTAAATATGTCTTTATTCTGACACTTGGACACCCAGCGCCTTGTTAACACTGGAGGGACAGCCTCTCCGACAACTTAACACCTTTCATATGCAAATCAGCCCAGAGCCCATATTCCTACACTCTCTCTCAGTGGGCTCTAGCCTCTCAGCTACTATCCACCTGTCCTGAGCACTCCAGGGCGAGGTACCAGATAACCAGAGATAGCCCTTACATCCCAGAGCCGCTGAAATTATTCCAAGTAGCCAATCCTAAACCTGCTTTCCTTCCTTCAAACCAAATAAAAATTTTTGCTTTCTTATGTGGCCTGAGTAGCATGGCATGGCCCTACTTCTTGAAAACTGAGAAACAAACTATTTATTCAGTGGCAACCATCTCTTGATGGGTTAGCTTCACCACACCTACATGACAAAACCTATAATTTAAAACAACTGGTCATTAAGAGTCAGTATTTTTTCCATTTGGTCAAGGCTGCTGCTGCACTGAGAATTTGACAATTCCCTTTTTCCCTACTTTTCTGATCAACTAAACAGATATACACTGCCAGCTTCATGACATAACTATTTAAAATCCTCAGATTAGGGGATAAATGTGAAGCACATTAATTTCATCATTAATCTCACTAGTGACACATTTATGAATTGTAGGGATACTAGGTCTCTCAAATAAAATTACATGGATTTGCATTTCCAAGGCAGAGATGTATACTTCCTGCTTTTCATTTTGAACAAAAATCTATTGTAAATCTACTCTGCTCAGTCATTCATATTCGTGCCTGAGTATTTAAGATATTAAGACAATCCCTATACACAAGCAGCTCAAGTATGGAAGATAAGGTTCCCAATGTCTAAGGCCACACCACCCTGAATCTGCATGATCTTGTCTGATCTCTACAGCTAAGCATGGTCTGGACTGGGTAATACTTGGATGGGAGACAAGGTCTGGGTTCCTTTATTTGAAATCTGTAACCCACTTGTCAGTCAGATAATCTATCAATACTAAAAATTTTAAAAATAGAAAGTTTTACCTGCAGAACTTGTTTCTTTTTGGTATTTCTGTTTCTTTTCAGTACAATTCTCACATAGAAGCTTATTATTCCCTATTAGTAATTCCATCGATGTAAACTGATAGAGACAGGACTGAACTGAACATTCTTTAGAAGTAGTTACATAGCTCTGAGAAAGGGTCTGGAAAGCATCTTGGGGACTGTGAAACCGCAAATGCTTTTCCTCTGAACATAAGTTATTCAAGATACTTAGTGGCTGATTTTCTGTGTCAAAATCTCTGTCTCCAGTTACAGTGCTGCTCAAATGAAGTTGAGAAACAGCCTCAGCCACCATGTCATCAGCACTGTCAGTCTCATTAATATGTGGCAGTTCCCCAACTGACGGATGGCAAAGGTGTCCACCTGTGTGCACACGGGCTCCACAACTGGATCTGAACAGCCTGGTCTGCCTAGAAGCACTTTCAGACTCTGAAGCTTCACTATCAGCATCAATACTGCTTTCAGAAAGGCTGGCTTCTTTTTCACTGCCATCCAAGGGGCTTTCATTTGGGGGTGACTCAGTATTCTTGATGCTTGTAATGATTAGAGAATCCTCATTCATTTCAAGGTTTTCATTTTTCCGGTATATGACAATGGTTTTCTCTTCTACAGATGAAGATTTTCTTCTGTGTTTTCGGTTACGAATTAGTTGATTCTATAAGTTAACAGTGTTTCAGAAAAGAATACTGTGACCTTATTGAAAATAAATGCAAATCTCATGTAAACATCCCAGGTTTTAAGTAAATACTATCTCTGAGATCCATTGCCTAAATCTACCTAAACTAAGATTAACAGAAAATATAAAACATAGTTCTGATTTAGAAGTAAACCTTTACATAAGAAACTAAAATGATACCGAGGGTGGTGGGTTTGAACCCAGCTGCAGCCAAACTGCAAATAATTGGGCGGCGCCTGTGGCTCAGTGGGTAGGGTGCCGGCCTCATAAACCAAGGGTGGTGGATTCAAACCTGGCCTTGGCCAAACTGCAACAAAAAATAGCCGGGCTTTGTGGTGGATGCCTATAGTCCCTGCTACTCAGGAGGCTGAGGCAGGGGAATTGCCTAGGCCCAGGAGTTGGAGGTTGCTGTGAACTATGATGCCACAGCACTCTACTGAGGGTGATAAAGTGAGACTATCTCGAAAAAGAAACTAAAATGGTTATCCATTTGTGAAGAAAACAGAACTTTTGTAGAACAATGCTACAATGGAGACTTTTCAACAACTGTATAAGCCTTTCCATACATGATTTTTAAACATTGAAAATGGGATGGTGC